TTCTCTCCCACACACTCCCCCCCACACACTACTGTTTACTTCAGTAACATAATTACATCGTTATGTAACACTGTTGCTTATGTTCGCTCACGCTCCTAGACATTATAAATGATAGGCTAAGGGGCGGGACACATCTCTAAGCTGTTGACCAATTAGAACAGGGCGAGCTAACCAACTGGGCTCTGATTTCAGACAGAGGGTGAAAAGAAGTGCTGCAGCACAAAATAAAGACCTTTTTGAACATTTAAGCATAAAAACATGTCACAGTTGATGAGGCGCTTAATATAAAGATAAACCTAAAAACTGAGCAGAATGTCCTCTTTAAATACTAAACCATGCAAAACCCACAGAAAACAGGGAAAACGAAGGGCAGATTTGACTGCCATTAGTTTTGAGGCGTCGCCAAGTGGCATGGGATCATGGGCCTTTATCATTGCTGTGAGTTTCTCTACACACTGAAAAAAAGTCAAGACACTTTCTATCTAGCAGACAACCACAGCTCTGATGCATTACAGGCGAACAACCTTGATGAAATGACAAATTGTTGAAAACATTGGAGATAGTGTTCGACACAACTGGACAAAAGTATATTGACTGTAGGTTTTTAGACATTTGAATGCATAAATGACTACATATTATATCTCACTTTCAGCATACAGTAATTTGAACCCCTACCGCACTCCAATACATGAGCAAATGTGTCAGGTTTTGAGAAACAGTGAATGAAAGGACTGGAATAGATGACTCGAACTTGACATCCCTTAACGCTTTCATGAGGAACTATTTGTGGAACGACTATGCACGCAATGGTAAAGTTTCCCAGAGACTAATGAAGCCCCTGGATCATGAGTTATGCATGGTGGAAATAAACTGTGATGAATCATTGATCCTTCAATGGTCCTCGTTGGATATTCTAATGTTACCTTGTAGTCCGGCGCTGCAGTTTGAGATGAAGCCCATTTTCTTCAGCAAAGCTCCATTGTGGCTCAGAGAAATGTCACGATGCTGGTTGAGCTAAGCTCCCAGGATCTCTGTGACCTATATAGAAGAGCGACTAATCTGGATGTTAAAAATGTGTTTGTGTGTGGTCACAACAATCATATACAGAAGGTTGTGTGTGCTAATAGAACAACACACAATCGCACACTGATAACTCTTTCACTAAAATAAAGAAACAAATTGTAAATACAAAGTCATTGGGATTAAAATAAATACATTTGGCAGTTTTAGCTTGCCAAACTGGACATTCGCTTCCTCTATTCCTCTTTTTCAATTGACATACTATTCAATTTAGATATCATGTTGTTGCCATAGTCAGTGGATGAATCCGATATTGTATTCAAAGCCGGGTCCAGGTGGATTTGCACATTCAGTCTAAATAAAGTGCAGACGTGCTGTAACGGAGGTGATCTTTGGGGCCATAGATCTCGGCCTCCGTTACGGATTGTGAAGCGTCCTTATTGGCGAAGTATGTTGATTTGTTCCCTGGTTTTATTTTGAAAAGTGTTCCCCCTCCCTTCTTGTCTGTTACTGGTGATTGTGTTCACCTGGTGCCCTGTGTTGTCTCCTCCCCCCTCACCTGTGTCTTGTTGGCTCGATTTTTTACAGTTCTGCCTGCTGTAGAAAGACTGACAAGACTCACAGTGAAAACACAAGGAACCGAGTGGGAAATATGGCGAATCGAGGCTTAGCATTACCAACATTTAGAAAAAAGTGTATCTTTATTTATAAGCTTTATATCTTCGCGAAATAGTATATTGTATTTTTACTTATAGGTGAGATACATGGCTCCATACGTGTCATTTTACCCTTTATTTTTTACTAATTTCCATTTGTAAGATATGCAAGTTAATGGTCTTCCTTATTTCACCTCTAAGCCCCTTGGTGGAATTTTACCCTGCTATCTTTCTTTTCACGTCAGTCAATGAGTGACAAGACATTATGGTTGCAGATATGCCAAGTATATTTTTGCTACAAACACTAAAAACATTATATTATGATTTTGGACAAACCAGTACTCTCAAACCAGTGTTATTGTGTCGCACACATTTGTAATACATTTAAGGATGCATTTATTATAATCTTTTGGCAGTTGGGGGCTGCTCAACAAGCTACAATCACAATCACAACACGTTAGCAACAGTTATTATATTAATTAAAGTTATTATATATGAAATCCATATGCAAATCCTTTAAAAAAAAAGTAAGAACCCATTAATTTAGCCTACGTATTAAATTATTTATGATTTTAAATGCATTGATATATTTATTGCATTATTTATTTATTTATTTCAAGATTTATTTCACAGCCATATATATAAATGGCTTGTATACTGTAACACAAATAAATGAGATTTAAACAATTAAAGAGTCAGTGAGTAACAGAAAGGTTTTAAGCTTTGAGTTAATTGAGGATTACACAAAAAATAATTAATTCTGACTGCGGCTTAATATATCAAAAAGTCCTCTAATATTATAAGCACATTGATTGTTTTATAAAGAATACATAACGCTTAATGTAAATATAATTATTTTTCTTGCCATAGCAGTGCAATTAGTTTATTATATACACTCTTTATTTCAAAGCATACATTAAGTGAGAGCACGCTTCTTTTTCACTGCATTGTCACTAACTGAGTCTGCAGAGGGGAGACATGACAAGAAAAATGGCTTTTCTAGAAACTAAACAACTGTGATGGCAGGGCAGGAAGACTAAAATGACTTTCTCATCTGGATGTGTGGTGGTTGTTAATATTGTTTTATTTTTTGAAAAATATACATGAATGTTGTTCAAAGAAATGTGTTTGTCTTTATTGACTATTTGTTTTAAAATGTTATGATACATGCTGTAAACATAAGAGATTAGGATGGATCATGTTGAAGAATGTACGATATGCCTCTATTCACATGAAATAAATAATCTTATGTACCCTTTGAGCACTAGGTAGACTAAACAGACAACTATAGCATGTAGTTTAAACAAAACATTAATGTGGCTTTAACAGGTACAAATGAAATATACTGAGTATATTAAAAGCCTAAAATGAACATGAAAAGTAATGTTGGTTAAACATAGGGTAAAGGAATATACCTAGTATTAAAGGAAATATTCACATTAACATAACAATGTCATGTTTCTTTAACATAATATAGTTTTGTGTCTTTAACATAATGGAATCGTTTTGAGCACACATGATTTTGATATGTGCAACCGATGTCCATGTTAAAATCATGTGAATCCAACAGCCTTTTTTTTCAGTGTAGGCTTCACTTTTCAGCCCAGAAATCTGAGCCCACACGATGGAGACTTCAACCCAGTCTTGACACAAAGTACGTTTTGTATTATACAATTGCTACGCCTCTCCTTTCCTCTCTCCTTTCCTCTCTCCCACCATGAATCCTTTTTTATGTCTCTTATCTTGTTGTCTGAGGCACTCCTCCTGCCTTTAAATCAATTTCCACCATGGGGATTAATACAGTTGAATTGAGAGAAATTGAACATGAGCTGAAGCAGATATGGAGATGTGCAAGCAATGTGGCTTCTCTTTTCACATATCTAAATGAAATATAATGTGCTTATCCTAAATGCCTCTGACAGGATTAACCGCAACGATTTAAGGTTTTCCCCAAGCGAGGTTCAACACACC